GTCAACCACATTCACCACAGGTGCAATGAGTCACAAAAATCAAATATCCTCAGCCTTTGGGGGGAACTTCATGATTCACTTAATTGAACGCGTTACTGAAAACAAATTATATCACGTTAACTAACGTCTTTAGATTCACTCAAGCATCGTCATGAGCAACATTTCATGAAAACATGCAGTGTGGACGTCAGATCTCTTTGACTCCAGCAGCTGTAGCAGAGTTTTCTCCACCTACAGCGATCCGTTTAGCAACCTAATCACTGTAGGTGAGGTGGTGGTCAGTGACAACTTGAGAATCAAAGGATGAAGCCCGTCAAGCCACCAGGATACGTGCTGTCAATAGCACATTGGGTAGGTCTTCCACAAAACAGTATTAGCTCTTGAGTTCCGTAGGTGTGATACACGTCGAACTCAGCACAGAGGACTGGCTATTCCAAAATGCGGAAAGGGTTGCGCCGACAACGCGAACGCACGCTCAGAGCTGGAAGTTAGGGGAAGCCAATCAGTCACCTGGCACTGGTGGGACATCAAGGCGGCATCTTCGAATTAGCCGTTGCTTTTCGTAATGAGAAATCTTTTGCACTCTAGCTACTGCAAATTTATCGAATTAACAAAACACTTTTGCTGTTTTGTTTGCATGCACTATATGCTGACCTCAATGTTGTCCTATTACGTCAACATTTTGAAAGCTCTTTGTGATAGTGTTCCACGTCTGTGTAGTATTCAATATGCTCATAAAGTAGAACGGACTTTTAAACGAGTTGTGCCAAGCAAGCTTTAGATGTCGCTCAGTTGACAAAGTATAAATTCCACTGATCTTATCTAGAAATATACGATCATTCCTCGGAAAAATAGCGGATCATACCGCTTTTATACAGCGAAGTGAATATTCGAATGCAGCCATTTTGATGCTTCGAGAATGCTGGTTACATGCTGATGTGGAAAACAATGTTATACAAGTTGCTGGTTAGCTACCTGTCAGAATCAACCGCCCTGGAATGCCTCAAAATCGTGGAGGGGATGTCATCACCTACGTTCACCAACGCTGGTGTAACTCGCCATTTATATTTTTTTTACCTACTCAACAGTCGCAATCAGCTGCCATTTGATTGAATGTAAGCCAAAGTTTTTGAGTGGTTTTATTTCTGTTCATATTGGGAATGTATCCGTACCCCCAGATACACAAGCACCAGAGTTGAAAACTTTTACAAAGGATCTATCTTTGGCGCTACTGCCTAAACCTGACTGTTCAGTCTGTGTCACCGCCGATGACTTCAATAAAATTGATGCCCCATTCATCCAGGCACTTGATTCGACTAACATAGTGGCCTTTGTGACCAGACTCGAAGCACAAGTAGATTTCGTCTTCACAAACCATGCTTGGTTGTTTTCCGCACAAAACGTGCCCCACTCGGTAATTCCGATCATTATATCAGAAAAGTGTACCCGGTCACTTATGGTAAGACTCACTCCGGTACATTGGCTGATAAGCCCTTCAAAACTGTGAGGCGGCAAGATTGTTCTATATCCAAATATTGCGAAACTTCAGGAAATGCTGACTTCTACTGATTTTACAGTTTTCAACAATGAAGATTTGTCAATTCAGTGTGATCATTTCACGGACTATCTTAACAGTTGCTTCGATCTGTGCTGTCCAGTCGAAACCATATACTTACGAGTCGATAGATTCACCTCACCATCTCAACCAAACAACTTAGAAGAAAAAACGAACGAGCCTACAAATGTAAAATAACTGACTCTCTCTAGCAATAAAAACTGAGATTTCACGACTGAATAATTCATAGGTCAAAGCCGTTTTATGCAACCACAATTGCCGAGACCTATGGAGACCTTGGAAGCAGCTATGCGGTAAGAGCTCCAGTAAGCAGATTGGATCTGTAGATGTGGAGAAACGCAATTCTGTTCTCCTTTACATGAAGCATCCTCCACCCCTTCATTCTCTCAACCTTCTTCTAGTTTTGGTCCAAAAATTACTTTCCAACACGTCGAAGTCAACCGTGAACTCAGAGACCTGAATTCAAGAAAGGCTAGTGGACGCGATGCTCTTTCACCAGTTGGCTTGAAAGAGTGAGCTAATACCCTTATCATGTCCCAGACAATTCTTTCTAAACGCTGCCTACACGGTGCAAGTCTTCCAGATATTTGGAGGGGTGTCAGGAAAACATCCGTGCTAAAGAAGGGGTCCACGAAATGCCGTCCAATCACCTGTACATCCAGCATGCTGAAAGCCTCCGAGCGACTACTTGCGCCGTGGAACTCAAAAAACACTCCGGCCGTGGATGTATTGCAGTTTACGTACAGACCCCGACGATCCATGATGGATGTCGTAGCATACCTTGCACACACTAAAGCATCTTCACTGGATGCGAAGTGCAAGAATGTGCTGCTCCTCTTCCTTGGTTACACCAACGTTTTTGGAAGTGTCGACAGATCAATATTACCTAACCAACTGTCTGCGTATGGTGTTCAATCAGTAGTGCGCAACCTGATGAGCAACTGCTTCATAAACCGATCTCACGTTACCCAGCCAAACGGTAAAAACATCCGACACTTAATGACGGTTAGGGCGTCTTAAAAGGAGCAATCCTCTTCTATTCTCTCTATACATCGAAATGCTCCTAATTCCCCCAACTTTTATTGGATGCAATTACGCTGACGACATAGTGGTAAGTAATATTGTTCCAGCTGCTGAATCATCAACGGCTCTACACATCGGTTTGGACGATCTGCAGCGGTGGTCGTTGTCCAGATCCCTTGTTTTCAACTCTTCTAAATGCCGCGATGTAACTTTCTATTTTCTCTGCACTGAGAAACGTCTGACTGGAGCAAACACCTCTTCCCTGTGGCCGTAAACGACTACTACATACACAGTACATCCACTGTTGCATATTTATCTCATAATATATCTTGATCAACACACGTTGACGAAACGTTCCGCAAGGTGCGAAAAGTATCCATTCTACGCCCTCAAACCCAAAATATTTTAAATACCCTGCTCTTTAATTTACAAATTCGTGACTGCCTGTATTCTTCCCCATTGGTTATATTGCTCAACTATGGTTTTTCCTGCTCGTCTACACAAAGACTTCAGATTGATTATGCGCTCATTTAAACTCATTTCCAAGTGAAATTGATTACTCAGGGAGACTCTGATTGACTTTACTAAGCAATTAAGTGCATGCGACAACAAATGTTTCAAATGAGCCTTTTCACCCCCTTCATGCTGATGTATCTAAAGCTCCTGCTCGTCTACTCCCACTAAATTTAGAGTTTTGTTTGCTCGCACAACACGTTATCACAATTCCAGCTGACCGTATCTATCCCGTTTTCCTGGGGACTCCAAGAAACTTGTCAGCACCACGCGTGAACGCTTACTTGAGTGATGTGTATGCATGTTTTCTTCTTTTTAAGCCTTTAATACAATCTCATGCTTACCTTATGCCTCACAACATCCGCAGTGCTAGCGTAAAAATGCTGAAAATGTCCCCAGTCGGGTTCATAAAGCCTATTTTAACTGGAATCGACTCTCAGCCGCCACATTCTGGAGGGGGGGGGGTTCATCGCGATTGCAAACTGCTCATCGAATTACGGACAATTTTATGCTTTCGAAATGTTGCTGATATCGCACTGCCTTTGTACACCCCGTACGCGTCAAAGTAGCCATCTGTAGTCGTTGATTTACAAATGGGAGCCACAAGAAAGTGGGGCAAAGAGTGACCTTGGGAGGGGGTGCCATTCAGAACTATTGGCTGAATGGTGCGACTAACGAGACGTGGTGTACAGCCCCCATGGGGTTCGCGTAAAATCAGCTAAGCCTGTCCTAAATAATGCTTGATGTAGTCGTGAAGGTTCTCCGATCGCAAAATGGTCAACATCGACGACCAAGGTCAACTTAAGAGCAGGTATGGCAGGGTTTGCATCAATTTGACAGGGGGTGTTCCTCTTGAGGTTGGTAACAAACCGGTGGAATAGTAATGTCCCATCGGTTGAGCCAATCAGTCTCATTTGTCCCTAGACCAAACGGGCGGCGAGGTTAGGAACTTCAACCGTTGCCTTACATTGCTGTGCTGAGGGATGAAGGACACCGTCCTCTGCCCGGTCTCTCACGAAGAGGTTGAGAGCAAGTTTGTCTAACTGCTAACTATTCAACTCTCTAAAATAAGTAGCGCTTGTTGCCCTTGAAAAGCCTCATCGATGGTAGTTCAATGGATTGTGGGGTGCACAAAGCTCAGCACTCCATGAGGACCCAATCCCACCGCGATGGATTGGGAATATCATGGTCATTGCTGTGTGCATTGGCCTCCCCTTGTTTACAATCACTGGGGATATTGGTAAGTGACAAAATGTACGCGATTAAAGATGGGTGTAGAATGTAACATTCTCATATGAAGACATGATAAAAATGCCATCAATTGTTGGTCAATCGAGTGCTGTTGGTTTACTGGAGAGACAACATTCCCGACTAAAGCGGTCAGATTTCTCAAACATCTGAAATTGTCAGCAAAACACAACAAAACAAAAAAATGAACGAGTGGAACGCGTTATGAGAAGTTGAGGGGGAAATGAATGAGATATTGGAGACTTGGATTTTTGAGAGAGCTAAGTAGTTTGACCAAGTTTTCAGTAAGTGAAAAAAACCGACGGATGTAAAATGAAGCACTACACCGGATATACCATGAGGGATCCCACAGAGAGCAGAGTGCTTACTCAGTCCGGCTGATCTCAAATGGACGTTAGGAAATGCGCGATCAAACTGAGGTGGGGATAAGGGGAACGGGTAGATGAGGCAAATCGGAACGATAGTCGATTTGTAGCCGTGGCGCAAAGTAAATCGGAAAACACGGAATCTTCGATTAAAAATGAATGGCCTGTAAAGGCCTTTATGGAGTGACAGAAACGTAAATACTAATAAGTGAAAAGAGGGTAGGAATGGAAAATTTGCAAAAGAAAAGGGTATTTAGTACGAAAAAATAACCTACTCGGATTCTCTGCCGATGGGAATACTTCCGGCGAGGGATGGGAGTGAGCAGAAACTGGCGTACAGGAGTTTGTTCTAGGATTGCGGCGGAGAAAACTCGTAACATAGCTCAGCCACGTCGAGGGTGGAAGTGCTGTTGCGGTTTTAGGTTCATCAGAAGTGGTGTCACACGTAGTGGAGTGAGGGGGACCGGTGGCCATGGAACTTTGTTGAACTGGAGGAAGGAAAATAGTGCCGGAGGTTTTTGTAATGGTGCAGCTAACTGCATAAAGGGACAACATTTGAGGAAAAGTTTGATTTGGTAAACAAATGGGCATCGCATTGTGGGGGAGATAGAAAATGTGTGTTTATCACTATTCCGAGCAGTTAGTTAAGTGGGAAAGAAGAGCCTGATTAGAGAGTGAAACGGGGACAGCTCGGAAATATGTGAAACATTACTGCAGGTGAACCACAATCAAAAATAAACATACGCACCAAAGTTAAAAACCGGAGCAGAGGATAAGGTGAATGAATCTATTCTGCGCGAACCGCAAACTGTTATGCAGACACGTTAACGGCCTTGGTAAGATGCAGCGCGGAATCCCAGCACTGGCTACGACTGACAGGTCCATGCGATGAGCAATGGAAGCAGTCGATCACTTACGTTTCCATTACTCCCATGCGTTCTAGCAGGTAGCGAGCTTAAATATCATCCTCCTTTCTATTACTCCACAGCCAGGTTTATCCAACCTCAGCTTCAGTGCAAAAGCTATGATGAAGTTGTTATCCATGCGTATCCATAGTTCTCCTGGAGTCGACAACATTTGACCGATGGTTCTGCATGCACTATCCAGTGATCTAGCGAGACATCCAGCTCTATTCTATCAGCGCTGTCTAGAGGAGAACCAAATTCCACCAATATGGGGGTGAAAGGTCACCACTGCTAGTCGTACAGACCTCACCAATGACCGTCCAATAAAGCTGCTTTCTGTGCTTCTCAAAGTTACGGAATCAATAATCGCAGATGAACTGATGCAGTAGCCGGAAAACCACAGTTTAACAGTCCCGGAGCAACATGGTTTTCGCCAAAACCGCTCATGTACTACTAACCTGTTACTTCCACGCAGTGGCTGGACCGAAGCTATTGAGGGTGGGACGGGAGTCGATGCTATTCATCTATTTGGACTCCTCAAAAGCGTTTGACCGCATAGACCATTGAATTCTCCTTCACAAATTTTGGAACTACGGCATCCGTGACTCAGTCCTGGGTTGGGTATACGCATGACCACCGGCTGGAGGTGAGAGTACAAGATTCCCTGTCCGATGCAAATGAGGTGGAGTACGGTGTATCGCAAGCTCGGTGCTTAGACCTCGTCTATTTGTGATTTTCATAATCGATCTAGCGAGATCAACCGCTTCCCAGTTTCCTATTATTTACGGATGATATTAAGAAATGGCAAGAGATCAGGGAACCGGGTGATCAAAATTTTAACACGCTTTCGAACTGCTCAGTTCACAATACACTATTATACAATGTAGAAAAATGTCATATTGTTCAACTGCGTAGTAGGCATGACTATACAAACTGGCCTTTGACACAGAGATTACAGGTCAGTCACCAAGAACGTGGCGTTGGTGTGCTCGTACAGAGTGAGTTCAACTAATCAAATGGTCTGAGACGGCTGCGAAAAGTGGCAACCAGCACGTTAGCCTGCTGCGAAGAGCACTCGTGAGCTTTGACCAATCAAGGTTCTCAAAGACGCACAGCTCTTACGTGCACCGTCACATTGAATACACTATCCAAGCTTGGCAATCTTCGTTGAATCGCGACCTCGAGGTGATGGAGACACCACAACGCAGGGCAGAAAAGAATGTCAAGGCTTTACGCAACTTATCTTACCAGAAACGACTGAAAATACTGGGAGTATTCGGTAGACTCTACCGACGGCTACTTGATGATCTCATACTAGTGTACCGAATATTGAGTGACCCCAACAACGTGTGCCGCCAGAGGTAAGTGGCTGGAAGGAATACCTTTTCTGTTCGGGCGTGCAAACCGTGAAACTCTCGCCCAAACTCAGCTGTCTCCTCCACACTTTGAATATTTTCAAAAAAAGCAACGATTGAGTGTTGCTCTTAGGTCCTAGGACTTAGGTATATAAGCTGTGCTATTGCGCATTGTACTTATCATAACCTCATACCGGATTACGTGTCACATGGATACAAAGAAACGGCAGATGAGTGGGCGGCCTTCTTTTTATATTCCCACACAATAAGTCAACTATCACTGCGCCCCATGTCGTTCAGTATGCTTGCCTTCAATACTTATTTTATATCATTATTCGGCAAAACATTTAACTCGACAGACACGTAAACAGACAACTTTCATATCTTTTGATTTTGCAGTTTCTACTCCAAGCATCCTGCAGGATCTGATAATCACCGGATTTTAACCCGTGATAAATCATCGTTCACTGAATGAGTTAATCGGGCCCCACTGAATGTTCCGAACAAAAAATGGAAGCAGAAACATCAAATGAGCTGGAACTTGAGCTGTGGATAAAACATAATACGCTCACTATGGTTGATTGCTTTGCTAGGGGAATAAGAATAGCAATCAGCCCAAGCGGAATGGAAAGCCATGGGCCAGTCCTTTTAGTCGGAAACATTCTAATAACGGAGCTTACGAGCCAGTCACTGAAGAGAATGAATATTCGCAACTTAGCGATCGCTAAGCAACCTGAACAGTGAAGGACAAGCAGTAGTGAGCAGAAATACTCTCCCATCAGTTCTCGTATAGGTTCTTGCTGCGATAATTGGCATGCTCGCTCCACTTGATTGACTTACTAAGTTGTCATTGCCACCACCAAACTGTCATAAATACCGACTGGGAAGTTAAACGTATGTGTATTACGTGCCCCGGATGGGCACTGGAAACATAAAGAAAACCATAGCCATGTGCACGAAACAAACGGCTCCAAGAATTTCGTTCAAATAACTTGATGAAGTATGACTGTCGCATCAAAAAGCGATAGACTTGGTTGCTTTGACCTTCAAAATCATGGGATTGAAAAGAATAAAAGTGAATGAACTGAGGAAGTAAAGGAAAAGAAATAAACGAGATATCCAATCGGAAACGGAACAGAAGATAATCTGAGAGACAGAGAGAGAGAGAGTGATCACTATACCACGAACGTTGAATGTACAGTGAACTGGCCGAATAGAACATATGTGTGTTAAGCGAAGGGATATGTAAAACGAATTGAAGCTAGCATAAGCAGAAGAATGCAGGATTGAACAGCTAAGTCAGCTAGACAAAGTATCGTTCACCCGGGCTCACCTAATTTGGACTGCAGGTGAGGATCCGCGGATTCACATGGTGCTTGAACGCGTCGGCGTGGGGGACACGTAGGCCTCGCCGGCGGGAATTTGGTATTCGACTTTGATCGCAGCAATGATTTTACACGTTCAGCTTGGTCAAAATAACGAGAAGCCTAGAACAAAGCGCAGCGTATAGCAATGTCAGAAGTATGTCATAATATATCAAGAAGTATCCAAAAAGGAAAAACGATACCTGAGTGGGTAAGTGTGAAGAAATCCATCAAACGAACAAAGCAATAAAAATGTATGAGATGGCAAAGGTTTGAATCGACGGGTGAAAAAACAGCACACACTTACATGGCAAAGAGAGCGAAAGTGCATCGAATAGGAAGAGATCACGCAGGAGAGCAACATCATGAACCAACGAAGTTTAGCAGACTAAGGCGTCCAGAGAAATAAAAGTGCACGATGGAAGTAGTTCGGTGTTGCTCCTCCCAACACTGACACACCAAGACCGACGGTTTCGTCCTGGTTTGGACTCATCAGGTGGAAATGGCCTGAGCTGGGGTGGAACTCGGAGCCTAGTGGTTCACGGCTAACGACTTGATCACTATACCGCTAAGATCCACGGGCAACATCATCATCATAATACACGTTAGCTAGAGGCTGAAAACACCTCCGTTACTGTGCCGCAATATATAATAAAAAGAAAAATACCATGCAACAAATGCATGCCAGCTGAGCAGACAGTAACGGATGAGTATCCTTCCGGAAATCTAGCAGCCGGCTAATATGCAGCAAAAAATTTATTATCCAAAAATTATGGTATTCCAAGAAATAAGATTGTGGTTGTAGCGGGTGGGGTAACAGGGATGGGAAAGGACAAAAAACACACGGCGCGAATGCCATTGAGATCGGCTCCTAGCCATGTCAGCAAGCGTATCTAGCTAAACGTGTTCATCGTCTTTCGGACCCCAACCAGGGAGCCGAGGCGTTCCAACCGAGGCCAGCTTCGACGTGAGGGCCTTCATTCCTCTCGACTAAGTCATCGCTTGACCACCCCTCTTCTTCCATCCACACTCCAGGCGCGCAAACAACGCACGTCGTGGGACTCGATGGGCTGCCATGCGTAACACGTGGCTGAGCCATCGGAGCCTGATGCGTGAAATAACGGCGCTGAACAGCTCCCTTCCATTTCCTGTGCTGAAAATAAGACGTCGAACATGCCCATCGCTCACTCGGGGTTCCCACCAGATGTGAGCAAAACTTCGAAGGCACCGGAGGTTGAACCTAACAAGCTTCTTTATGACGGTCAGCTTGCACAACCGTAACTACTGGTCGAACGTACGCATGCGTTCAAAACCCCACCCTTCTGGGAGAACGATGTCACGCCGGCGCTATAGGTCGGCAAAAGCGCCTCGAGCTTCTGTAATACGGTTTGTGATCTCACCTGCCATTCCAACGGTGCTCACACAACTTCCCAGGTAGTTAAATTATTGAGTGAATTCTAGCTGATCAAACCGCAGGAAGCGGTCGCTGCCAATTTTGGAGAAAAGCTTTGCACTTCGAGGGTGCAAAGCGAAATCCGAGGCGGCTGACAGCCAGTGCTAATATGTCCAGTGCAGCTTGGCACGTTGGGGAGCTGTCACAGATTAGGGCAATATCGCCAGCATATTCCAAGTCAAAAAGCCGTTTTCTGAGAACATCTTCAGAGGTTCTAAGTCGTGCCCTGTGAACGCGATCTCATTACTTCGTCAACAGAGAAGTTAAAGAGGAAAAGTGACAGCGTGCATAATTGTCTCCCACCGCTGGAGATACTGAAGGACAGCGACAGCTTGACGTTAGCCCACACCCTGCCAGAGCTACCGGCGTATAATGCTAAAGTAATATTTACATATTTCCAGAGCACACCTTCCCTAATTAAACAGTCCCAAAGTGCACATCGATCAAAAGAATCAAAGGTACGTTTGATGTCGAGGAACACGAAAACGATGGGCCACCAATATTTGGGACGATACTCCAAAATCATTATACACGTTGGATACAGGTGGAAAACACCTCAGCTACTGTCGCGCAATACAAAAGACAACAAAAAACAAGACACACCGGCTGAGCCCCAGCAACGGATGGACATCGTTCCGGAGAGCAAACAGCCGGATATCCTGTCGCAAAAAGAGAGTTATGTAACGCCTAACGAATTAGATCGTGATTGGAGGGGAGGCTAAGTGGGAGGGGGAAGGGCAAAGAAACGCACAACATAAACGACAATGGGGCCGGCTCCTAGCCATATCAGCAAAGGTGTCCAACCAAACGTGTTCATCGTCCTTAGGACCCCAGCCAGGCAGCAAGGATGCACCAACCGATGCCAACTTCGATGTCAGAGTTCTCATTTACCTCGACCAAGTCATCGCTTGGCCTCCCCTCCTCCTCTACTAATCGCACCCACAACGCCCAAACAATGTACGTCGCGGAAGTCGGTGTGCTGGCATGCGCAACAAGTGGCCCAGCCATCGGAGCCTGGTGCGTGATATAATGGTGCTGAGTGGTTCACTCGCTCTTCCTGCACCAAATACGCAATGCCGAACACGCTCATTGCTCACGCGGTGCTCCCATCAGACATGACCTAAGCTGCGAAGGCAGTGACGATCGAACGTGACGAGCCTCTGTATGTCTGTCAAGCTGATGGGCCAGGTTTCACAACCATAAAGGAGACTTGAACGCACGGCTGCGTTATAAGTTCTGCCCTTCAGGGGGAGAGTAATGTCTGCACCACAGGTGGCGGAGATTGGCAAAAACATCTCGATCTTCAGCTATACGGTTCGTAAGCTCATCTTCGATGCATCGGACGCTAATATAGCTGCCCAGGTACTTGATTTCCTGAATGGCTTCTAGCTGAACACCACAAAGAGTCAGCGCAGGGGTGGGTCCCTGACAATCTTGGAGAAGTACTTTGCATTTCGATGGAGCAAAGCATAGCCCAAAACGAACGACAACCAGTGCTAATCGGTCCAGTGCTGCTTGGCATGTTTGGGAGCTGTCACATATGAGGGCAATATCGTCCGCATACTCCAAGTCAAGAAGTCGCTCATCAGGAAGTAGCTTCGGACCTTCTAGGTCATGTCCAACGAACGCTGTATCCATGATTCCATCAACAGAAAAGCTAAAGAGGAAAAGTGACAGCGGGCAATCTTGTCTCACACCGATGGTAATACTGAAGGGTGGTGACAGTTTGCCATAAACCCTTACTTTGACCGAACTATGCGCGTACAGCGCTTTGATAATGTTTACATATTCATCGGGCACATGTTTTCTCAGCAGAGAGTCTCAAAGAGCGCATCGATCGATCGAATCGAAGGCACCTTTACGTCAAGAAACACGACAACAGTGGGTCGCCAATAAACATGGCGGTGCTCCAACAAGTGACGCAAGGTGAAGATGTGTTCGATGCAGCCCCGAGCTTGACGAAATCCGGCTTGCTCTTCACGAATCTGGCTTTCACGAGTACCAGTCAGTCTGAGGAGATAATGACGAAGGCAAGCAATTTAGAGGCAATTTAAATCAAACTGATCCCTCTATGATTGCCGCATTCCAAACGGGAGTCTTCCTTGAAAATTGCGACTATGACGGAGCGACTCCAGTATGTCGTGACAGTTCCCTGCTCCCAAAGTTCCATTAGCAACTCGTGTAAATCATCCACAAGAGCAAGGCCCCCAAATCTGTAGAGACCTGGAGGAATTTTATCTCTCCCTGGGACCTTACGCAGTTTCAACAGTCTGGTCTCACGTTCGAATTCTGTGCGTTAGGGCGGTTCCAAAGAGACGGCCCAGGGACAAGGGCGCACAATGCCCGAAACCGATGACTCAGTTCGGTTAAATTGCCTTGCAAAGTGTGCGGCGCAATGCTCCAAATCTTTTGACAGGCTGTGGATCGGCTGCCCACTCTCGTCGCGTATGGTCTCGCTAACACCGGGTCTCCTGCTGCCTGTCCCCCGTATCAGACGGAATAACTTACGATGACTACCAACGGCAGCGGCTGTTTCCATCTCAGAGGCACGATGAGACCACCAGGTTTCGCGGTCCTTCTTCAGGCTAGCACGTAGTTTTGCCATGAAATTTTTGCGAGCCTCATTGTATTCGCTTCCAGCTGGAACACCTCGGCGAGCATCCATAAGTTCCAGAGATTATGTAGAGACCCAATGTCCAGTTTGGCAATTTGATTTGCCACATGAAGACATGCCTGCTGATAGTAACGTTTGACGAATATGCGACCAGTGATCTTCAACGGTGTTCAGAGGGCGCTTACTCAGCCCGGATGTCAGCGCAATGTGAAACACATCCAAAACACCCGGCTTCGTCAGCTGGCTACTGTCAATCCGTTCACATCGACGTTGCGGACGTCCGCCGAAACGCACCCGCAGATTAGCACACACAAGAGCGTGATCAGAGTCCACGCGGGTGCTCTAAATCGAGCGACAGTTTTGGACACAGCCTGTCCAGCGGAAACTAATCGCGATGTGATCGACTTGCGTCCATGGCTGGCCCGAGGCTGGTGGCCGCCAAGTCACTTTTCTGCGGGTGTTCTGCTTGCAAGAAAGTGACGAGCATTTTCACACAGGTGTATCAATCGCTCATCGTTATTATTACGGGAGTCTATACCATGTTGGCCGTCCAGATGAAGCTCATCAGAGGACAAATTTCTGACTAGGGCGCTTAGGTCACCAGCAAGCACCACAGTATCCGGGCACCGCTTTTCCCTGTGCGACTTCGTAGCAAGGAACGAACCAGCTAAGCTAACGGCGCACATCCGACTGTTGACTGGAATCCAGTCGATCAGGACAGCCTCAGCCCGGGGACTCAGAACAATGCCGACGCCAGCTTGACCGGCATTTGAAGCTGCATCATCGCCAGACAGGCGCAATGAGAATGTGCCGCCATTGTCGCATGTGGGGGATCGCAGGGTAACCACGGAGCTCGAATCTCGCAGGCTGATAAACAGCAAATATCACTTCATATGGTCTCTAGTGTGCGGGAAAGTGAGGCCTGTTGGCCAATCTGTAGCAAATTGCGCAAGCTGAGGCATGCCAGTCTTAGCGAGACGCGAGGACTCCAAAGCGAAACGGATGAACTGACGTTGTCCGCTTAGTTGAACATGGACTTGTCGACTGGATTGGAGC